ACACACTGATGTTTTAATGCTTTTAAGAAACTGGGGCTGAAAATAACCGAGACCCAGAAGCCTACTTAATGTTTGACACTCGGCCGAACCTCTCGCCTCAGATTTAACCAGATGCACCGCTTATTACATGCACCCATGTTCAGCTGAAGCAGAGCTCCTGTACTTTGACTTACCATCATTAAAACAGGTTCCGTGTCTTTACAGTGCTTTAAGTTACTCAAGCACAGAGTCGCTCATCCCGAGAGCACCGACGTGCAGAAATTCACAGGATTTATGTCAGTGGCTTATTAACTCGAGTAATACTTTCAGTTTAATATCTGCGAACCTGAGCGGTGACCAGAAACATCACTGTTCAACTGCAAATTCAAATCGAAGGGAAAAAAGTGTTTATGCAATATTTTACATCGATGCAAACAGTTCTTTAACTTTTATTTCACACTAAATCATTTAGATAAAATGGATGGTGCTGACTGGTCAATCCTGCGTTTATACACAGGTTTGGGTTTTTGAATGAAGCCTCTTCTGCTCATCAAGGTTGCATTTATTTGATCAAAAATATAGTAAAAACAGCAATATTGTGAAATATTACTACAATTTAAAATAACTGTTTTCTGTGTGAATATATAGTAAAATGTAATTTATTTCTGTGATCAAAACGGTATTTTCAGCATCATTCCTCCAGTCTTCAGTGTCACATGATCTTCAGAAATCAGTATAATATGCTGATTTGCTGCTCAAGAAACATTTCTGATTATTATCAGTGTTGATAACAGTTGTGCTGCTTCATATTTTTGTGGGAAATGTGATTAATTTAGTTTTTCAGGATTCTCTGGTGAATAGAAATGTAAAAAAAAGAACAGCAATTTTTTTAAACAGAAATCTTATGTAACATTAAATGTCTTTAATGTCAATTTTGATTAATTAAATGTACCCTTGTTCAATAAAAGTATTAATTTACTTTTAAAAATACAGTACTTTACAAGTCAGAAACTACTGCTGTCCCATCAATGATGTGTTAGGAAACAAAATGGTAACACAAATGTCAAATATGACAATGTTTAAATATCCAAGTCTTTTAGTAACCAAACTGCAAACAAAGTTTAAATAATGCAACAATGATCAACAAGATCATTTACCATCTTTTACACCCCTGACCCTGCAAATGTTTGCTAAAGTGGTTTTAACCTTGACTCATTGATGCATTTTTATTTGCTAAAAACTCTTGAGGTTACCATTAATGGTGTAACATCCTGCCAGTTCCCAGTTCACTAATGCAACAAAACTCTTTTTTTTTCCAAGCTGAAAGGAAAAGATATACATGCATGCATACATACGTATTTGAGCAAAGTTGGCATTGAATTTGCTTGAGAAAATAAATAAGACATCTAACAGCAGCTTTTATCTGAATGAACGATGCTTTCACGTCTGGAGTGTCAGTAACAGCTGATGCCAAAATGCTAACCTGTCATCTTTTCTTCATTTTACAAACCAGACCAATCCATTAACCGAGTGCAAACCTCTCTTCAATTACTGAGGAGTTTGAACATTTCCATACTGACCGCTTAACTCATAATTATATATGCAACACAAGTTGGGCTAGTTCTTTAGTTTGTGTTTTCTAGGCCAGTTCTCATCACACGTCTAACCTAATTTGTCTGCACTAATCAGTAAAAGTGTAGAAGTACAAGCGCTCTGTCAGGCCGAGACTTCCAGCACTCAACTTTCAGCTATTCAGAGATGGTCTCCATATCACACGCTATGAATTATTTATATATGCAAATACAGAGCTTCAACATGCATAAGCTAAGGGCCTCCCCAACCTCACTGCCGCTTACAATAAACAAACATCAGCTTTCTTATGCACTGACATTTCTGAGTCTCTTTTTCTTGATAAGATCCAAATGTTTTGACGTTGTTATTTTGAGTCAGTCTTTGGCCACGGATGAAATGTTGGTCATAGTGTCTTTTGTAATGTGAAAAATGATAGCGCCCCACCACAGAGATCTCTGTTTCAGGCAGATGCTATTGACTTACTGTGTGTTTGCTTCACTGGCTACAACAAATGAAGCTGGAGGGACGCACAGCAGTCCGATGTTTGCTGATAAGGGAAGACACGAGACTCATTCAATATCACTGACTTTAGTCCTCAACACTGAGCTACTCCTGTCCTGTCCTGTGTCCTACGAAATACAAAAACACTTCAAATAGGTGAGCGACAGATGGCAGGCGGCACATTTAAACCCTGCTAAATATTAACTAGTAGCTGCTGTTCGGTGTCCGAATTTGTATGCAAACAGCAGCATGTCAGACCTAATGTTTGATTAAGTATCAAGTGCTTGCAGTTTCTAATGCTTAAAGGAATAGTTCGCCCAAAAAGGGATGCTCTGCAGTGAATGGGTGCCATCAGAATGAGAGTCCAAGCAGCTGATAAAAGCATCACAATAATCCACACCACTCCAGTCCAGCAGTTAATGTCTTGAGAAGGGAAAAACTGCGTGTCTGTAAGAAACAAAACCATCAATGTGTTTTAACATTTAACAGTCACTTGCATCTAAAATACGAGTCCATAATCCATAATAACGCTTCCTCCGGTGGAAAAAGTCACAAAAAAAAAATCAAGCCACATATTTATTTAGAACTGTTTTGGGTTTTAAACAGTACTTGAACTGTGCAGATTTCTCTCCCGATTCAGACAAGATTACTTTTTCACTCGAGGAAGCAAAATAATGAATAGAAGACTCATATTTTAGCCAGAAGTAAAAGTTTGAAGTTAAAAACATCTTAATGATTGATGTGTTTCTTACAAAAACGAAGCTTTTCACTTCACAAGACATTAACTGATGGACTGGAGTGGTGTGGATTGTGATGTTTTTATCAGCTGTTTGGACTCTCATTCTGACGGCACCCATTCACTGCAGAGCATCCATTGGTGAGCAAGTGATGCAATGCTACATTTCTCCAAATCTGATGAAGAAACAAACTCATCTACATCTCGGATGGCCTGAGGGTGAGGACATTACTGCAAATATTCATTGTTGGGTGAACTATTCCTTATTTGTACGACAACCAAGCAATTTGTAGTGTATATAACAATAACTGGACTTTTTCATGAAACATGACTGAACAAATTTGTATAAATCATATGTACAGCAAATTAAATGTGGCAACTTCGGTCCGAATTCATTTCGAAACGATTTACACAACAGGCATTTGTTATGTTAACAGTCGTTCACACCAAGGATGATAATTATAACAATAAAAATGATCCTAATTCTATGATACTATAAAAATAATGACAGAGGAACAATATAATTGGAATCACTTTCAGAAAAAAAAAATTTTCCCCAGCTGACGAACGATAAACATTAAACCAATCAGAATCTACTCGACTTCAAAGAGCTTGAGCATTTAAAGCAACAAGCGACAAAAATTCAGCGCACGCTTATAATAAACAGAACTATATCATTTGTTGGTGCGGATGCTAATATCTTCATTGCTATATTTGTTGTTCTTGGTGTGAACTGTATTTAAAGGGACAGTTCACCCAAAAAGAAAAATTCTGTCATCATTTACTCACCCTCAAGATGTTCCAAACCTGTACGAGTATCTTTCTTCCATTGAGCACAAAATAAATTATTTTGAAGAATGCTGGTAACCAAACAACTGACGGTAGCCATTGACTTCCATAACTATGGAAAAAACACTATGGAAGTCAATGGCTACCGTCAACTGTTTGGTGAAAGAATTTTTGGGTGAACTACCCCTTTAAGAATCATTATTTTGCAATTCCGCTTTTACACACAAAAGATTTCAATACTGCCAACAAATTCAATGCATCAACTGCAAAAAAAAAGTCAAAAACCAATGACGCATTTAGTTTGAACAAAAGAGCATAGCACTTTTATAATTATTATATCAAGTCCTTTACAAATAAGTCACCGTGTACAGCAGCTGTTTGCATGGCAAGTTTTACAGAGTCCAGAATTCATCGATGCAACACGTGCTGCAAGCCCTTATGAATCCGTCTCCCATACCAAGACAGAGATCAGATATTTCTGAGATATGTTCTTTCATCTCCTCAGCTAGAGATCAAATCATCAGTCTTTGAATTGAAAAAACATCTTTGAGAACAAATGCAAATGTATCAGATTCGGTTTTGATAGCTCGCATGAAACCGTGCATAAGGAGCGCAGCAAGTACCTCGCACAGATTCACTCAGGCATGTAACCAAAGCATTGTCATGTGACAGCACGTCATTTTTATGAATGCTTATTTAATGAATCTCACGACATCTTATGTCCAGGTCACATTTCACCCCAAAAAAAAAAAAAAAATGTGCATAAAGAAAATGAAGCCTATTTTAGGATCATTCAGATTTTTTTGCATTGTGACATTTTCATGATTATACAAGTTTTTCCTACAAATTCTCATTACCGAAATGTGTCTGGATGCTTTACTTTTGAGTGATTTAAACTACTGTAATACTGCTGTTGTTACTGTATTACATTAGAAATATAGAGTAATACAATTATTTTATTTAAATAAAAATAAAGAAAATACTGTTAAAACATTTATATTTTACTTTTTTTATAACCGTAAGAATAAGAATTGTTAATTTATAAATTAATTTATTCATAATTCCCATTCCTAATTATTAATGAAGCCCTAAAAATAAAAATAAAAAAACACTAATAATGTCACAATGCAAAATATAATTTCCTATTTTTTTATTTTGGGGTGAAATATTCTGATATTCACTCTATTAGCATATCTTATATATTTAGCTGTTAATAATGATGCTTCTGAAAAGGTACAACAAACTGCATGTAATTTTCTCCAATTAAGAGTCGTTTACTTGTGGATAACGAGATGATAATTACCTGCATGGGCAGAGAACATCATGTTGCATTTATATTGTTCTACAGAAACTACACAATGCCAGAAGTGGAGAAGAGTAACAGCCGTAAACCTGATCTAGTCCTGACCTAAGTGTGTACTAATTGTTTTTTTTCTCTCTGAGTAATGAGTAAATCAAATGGGTTTCCTTGCTAGGGAAAGGTTGTGAGTGTGGATTTGTGACCGTGTGTGAACGTGTGTCAGTCTCTTGCACGTGGCGGTTGGTAATATTGTTGTGTCGGTCGAGAGCGGCGAGGTTGTCCGTCTCCTCCTCTTCGAAATTCAAGGGAATTCTCATAGTAAATGTCTTCGTCATCCTGTAAAGAAATTACCAGGAATGAGTGACTAATGTTACTGATAAATGCAAGTCCATCGCATCAGTCATGAGAAACAGAAGACAGACTGGTCTTTAAATAAAAACAACACAGCCCAAAAAATCTATCTGGGAATTGAGCAATCCACACCAAAACAAAACTAAATAAAAAAAATAAAATAAAAAAAATAATGTAAAATTAAATGTAAAAAAAACAACAAACTAAATAAAAATAAATTGAAAAATAAATAATTCATCAATAAAAATGTATATATAATCAATAATAAAAACAGTACAGTACTATATGCACTGTACTGCTTAATAGTAAAAATAAATAAAGTAACTTAATGGAAATTTATATTTTCCAAATAATATTTTAGACATATTAATAATACAAACAGAAGACAGATTGGTCTTTAAATAAATAAAACAAAACCGAAAGTGTAAATCTGGGAATTTGGAACCAAACAAAAAATAAATGTATTAATAATTTTAACTTAAATTCAAATAAAATTAAATTAATTAAAATATATTTAAATAAGAAAATTAAAATGTATTAAATAAAAAATATATATAATTAATAAAAACAGTACAGTAATATAATGTATAATGTACTGTTTAATAAAAAATAAAAAAAGTAATAATGTAACTTAATTGGAACCAAACAAAAAATAAATGTATTAATAATTTTAACTTAAATTCAAATAAAATTAAATTAATTAAAATATATTTAAATAAGAAAATTAAAATGTATTAAATAAAAAATATATATAATTAATAAAAACAGTACAGTAATATAATGTATAATGTACTGTTTAATAAAAAATAAAAAAGTAATAATGTAACTTAAAAGAAACATATTTATAATAATTTTTCACAGTAAACTGGGTCTTTATAAAAGAAAATATATAAAACACTTTTAAATTTTAGGATGGGGGGGTCCCTCACACAAAGAGGTTCGAAAAGATTGAAAAGCCCTGGCATAATTAGGGTTAGGTATCGTTTGGGTTTTTTTACGATACCAAATCGATACTTTTAAAACGGTACCGTGCCTAAACGGTGCCTGGACCGATACTTACAAAAAAAGAGCCACAAAATGATGGTGGATGACATTAAAGAATGGCTTTTTTATTGAAAGTATACGGAGAGTATACGGAATATATATGTGTGTAGATATAGATATAAGTAAACATAAAACACAACAAATTTACATTAGTTCACAATAACACCTAAGCCACCTAACCCAACTACAATAATGTAACACTAAATAACAGTTACAGTACTAATAACAGCAAAGTAGTCAGTATTCGTGGCAGGGATGCAACAATACAGTCAGCCCACATTTCAATGCATAACTTGGTTTTTAAACCACGGTTTCCGGTTCTGTTTGGTGTTTTTTTGTGAATTGTGATTTAAAATGTGATTTCTAAAACAAATGTAAAAAAAAAAAATCCTGTAGACTGAAATAAAACATGGATTATCATATGTCTACTACTTCTTTTGAGAGAAGTATTATTTTTCCTATTTTTACCCAAAAAAGGATGGATTGGGCATTACTGAGCGCTATAATCACATGTAATGTCTGTTTCATTCATACTGGACGCCAGAGGGCGCCCTCGTGCAGAAACTCCCCATATGCATCACAGAAGTAGTAGAACTCATGACGCTCCAGGAAATCCCTAATATGGACAAAAGCATCCAGCTAGCGCTGTGACTGAAGAAAAAGGAGAGAAATGTTTTGAATGATGAAACATGAAGACAATAAACACTCGACTGCGACAATATATAGTTTATCTGTGTTCAAGCCATCTCGGGTATTTTCATAATAATTAAGTATATTTATAATCCATTGCTAATTGACACAGCCTTTTTTACAGTATAGAACATATTTCTGCCCATTCTGTGATAAGAAGCCACATCAGATCACAAAAGGAAGCATTTGACTGATGTTGTGGAGTAAAAACATGTTATAATGTTCTCTTTTGTTGGCCAACAGTAGGGCTGTGCAATTAATCGCATGCGTATCTCGTCAGTAAAGCCGGTTCTGTGATTAGTAGTAAATCTCCAGCACCTGCTTTCAGATGGAGCAGCATTTACTACACAGAGCCGTAGTTCACTGACAATTAGGCAATATCGCATTCATTATCGCAGATCGAATCGCCTGCGATAATGAATGCGATATTGCATAGCTTGTCAGTGAACTACGGCT